CTCGGCTGGAAGGAGGTCGTTTGTGGACTGGGGACAAAGAGGGGCCTGAGCTACCTGGATGGGGTCAGACCCAGCTGGACAGTGCTGAGGGTTGCTAGGCCCGAGGGCCCTGAGAACTGCCTGTGCTGGGTTCAGACGTTCAATAAACCTCCTGTGTTACGTTGGCTGAGAGTCACAGCTGGGTAGAGATCAGGGGGCATTGGTCCCTCTGGGGGTGGAGGCCCCGGAGGTGCAGAGCGAGGGGCTGATGGTAAGAGACAGGCAGGCTGAAGGTTCAGGAGCTGTGGTTCCAGGAGGTGCTGGAGCCCAGGTCTTAACCCCCCAGCGTGTGTGTGACCTCGAGAAGGGCTGTCACACCGAAGGGGGGTCCTCCCAGGGACCATATGGAGCTGAGAGAGCCCGGGGCCTGTGACACAGCCCAAATTTGGTGTAATAGTTTTACTATAACAAACAAAACATAATTTGCATCATTATATAAAATATATCCTAAAATAATAGTCTACGTATGTATATATCCACACACACATACATACATATATTACATTAACATAAAATTGAGCATAATTATATAGTCTAAATATACTTTGTGTGTGTGTGTATATATATAACATAATGGTAGATATAGATACACACACACACACGCATACACATACACACACACATATATATAAAGAAAGAGAAAGAGAGAGAGGTAGCTATACAGCTACATACAAATATTGAACACAATCAATCCAGCATTTCACCAAAGACTTAACACTTGCTCACACACTAAGATTATGTCTGGTTTGTGTAACTGCAACATCTGTTGGCTCCGTCCAGAACAGCCTGTTCCTCCCATCCCATCTCTCCTATGCAGGATTCTTTGCCCAGAGCCCAGACCTGGGCCTGAGGGTCTCAGAATCGGTGCGAGCCTGGGTGGGTCTCTGCTTCATCATCCCCTGCACATTCAGGCCACTGATGAGGCCCGGATCGGATGGGGGGATCTGTGTGCCTTGGTTCATCAAGCAAGCAGACGTCTTCTGGGGGAAACGTGTTGCTGCCAACATCCTCTACAGAGAGGTTCTCAAACTGTGGTCCACGGACCACTAGTGGTCTGCAAGCTCCATTCAGATGGTCTGCGGATAGTTCCCTCTAAAATGTGTGCCTGGGCGGCCACATACGAGAGAATGAAGGGCCACCCACCTAATTAATGCAGCTGCACAGGGATGGCTCCACTAATTAGGTGCCTGGACCCTGGAGAAGATGCACATGTAAGGGGAGATGGTGGCCTTGGTGGAAATAGGGGATAGGTGGGAGGGAGCAGCGGGGTGAGAAGAGGGGGTGGGAGGAATTTGGGATGTGCAAGGCTGTGGTGGCCAGAGAAAGAGGCGACTTTCCCCAGCTCCAGGGCTGTGGCTGCCGGGGAGAAACAGCCCTCCTTCCCAGCCTCAGCTCTGTGGTGGGGGAGAGACCCCCGTCCTTCCCAGCCCCAGCTTGGAGGCTGTTGCGGTGGGGGAGAGAGGGCACATCCATCGCATTACAAAGGTGACACTACTGATATTAAAATATGAGTTGTGTGCTTTTATTTGTAGAACAAAAAAAATGTTAATTATTATTATTTTTTATATATCCAAAGTGCTTTACAATAGTTAGCTAACTGTACAAACAACATTTGGAAAGATCAGTAAGTGGTCTGCCAAGACCCTCAGAAATTCTTAAGTGGTCTGTGAAAAAAAAAGTTTAAGAACCACTATTCTACCGAGAGGTATTGCGGGAGGCACGGGGCCACTTCTGGATGCTGGGGTTCCTGGAGATGGGAGGCTGCTCCTTAGGCATCAAGGACGTGTGAGCCAGGGACGGGAGCTGCTCTTATCTGCACATCACCAAGGGGAAATTGTTCCGGCACAGCTACTGAGCGACACAGCCTGTACTCATTGTCACCGGTATCCCACTGCTGCCACCTGAGCCAGCCAGTCCCCCACTCTGGGGCTGGATCCAAGCCATCGCCCACAAGAGGGGAAAGACCCAGTGGCCCATTCCCCTAGTGGCTTGAAACAAAAATTGGTCAAATTTTTAGCAAACTGAAAATTGTTTGGATCGAAAGAAAAAGAAAAATTGTTGAATTTTTTGGTGAACCAAACATTTGAAAAAAATATTTGGGGGATCAACATGAAAGCACAGTTTGATACATTTTGAGGGAACCAAAAGTCAGGGGTGGAAAACATCTTTTCATGTAAAACCGAAAATGAAATTTAGTCAAAATTTTCAGTGAAGCAGGCAGCCAGAAATAGATTTGGTTTGAGGATGAAACATTTTGTTTTGATTTCAAGCATTTTAGATTTTTTTTTACTAAAAAATAAAATTACAGGAAATTTCAACCCATACTGTGGTTTTGAATTGAGAAAGTGAAACATTTCTTTTTGAAAACGCCTAACAATATCTTTCCATTTTGAGCAATTGTGGGAATATTTTTTCGCCAAATGAACAATTCAGCAAAATCGACCTGGATTCACACAAAGTTTTGGTGTTGCCGAATTTGCATTTTCCACCAAAAAAAAAGTTTCTCTGTTAAACTTTCTCCCCACATTAGCTGGGAACGGCCATCAGAGCTGCTGGGTTGGGCTTTGTCTTGCAGTGATCAGTAACTAGTATGAGATGGTTTGCTCTGTTCTCTAGAGGGTCTTGTGGAAGCAGAAAATAAGAGTAAAAGGAGGATCTAGGGATAGATTTCTTTAGTTCTTTTAAGAATCGAGCAAAAGGATTTGTTTAACCCTAACCACGGGAGAGTTGTAAAAGATGCTGGTCTCGTCTTGCTTTTAGTTGATAAGAATGGAATGCTGACTGAAGCAGAAACCTTGAGATAAGGTAGGGGCTGGAGGGGTTTTGTATAAATAAAGAATAACTGTTAGCCATTGATGTATGTAACAGGAACCTATAAATACTTGTCTTATACAGCTTGTAGGGGGAAGGTCTGCTTAAGGTCAGGGAGACCCCCGGCCCGACCACAGTCTTCCCTTGCAACTCATCATAAACTGTCTCCGGCTTGTTGCTAACAACCTCAGAGTGAGAACTTGTTTTCTTCCACAGTCTCATACTGTGCTTGTCACCGGGGTATCTGGTCGCCTGGCGGTCATCACAGAGCAAACAAAGTCATAATTAACAAGGCAACAAACTGGGTAGGGAGGGGGCAGGATATCAGGCTAGATGGGTCTGTTGGCCTCACCCGGGGTGGCAGTTCCCCCAGCTGAGGTCTCATTCTCTGTTTCCTCAGTCCTGTGAGATTCCAATTTCTTGTCGGCTCTTTGGTAGCTGAGGAACGGCCCGAGCTACATGCCGGACTCGAGCACCATGGATACCCTGGCCCCTGGCCTGTCCTTCCTTCTGCTTCCATGACAGCACCAGGGTGTCCTGGGAGAGAGAGATTCTGGGGTATGTATGTGGTTGGCAGGATAGATAGATAGATAGATAGATAGATAGATAGATAGATAGATAGATAGATAGATAGATAGATAGATAGGTGTATGGGGATGAATAGATACATAGGTGGGTGGGTAGGTACATAGTTGGGTAGGTGGATAGATAGATGGTGGGTAGAATGGTGGGTAGGTATATGGGTAGGTGGGTACATAGGTAGGTAGGTCGGTAGGTGGGTTGGTAGCTGAGTTACCATCTGTAATAGAGCAGGGTGAGGTAATAGGCCAGGATGAATCCAGTCGCCACGAAGACGAGTTTGCAGCTGATTTCGATAAATGCCCGAGTGAGGCCACCTGTGGGAGCTGGAACAAGCCAAGAGTCTGGGATAGATCCCTGCAAACCCTGCCCCGAGCCAGCCAGCCCCCGCCCTGGGGCTGGGTTGGAGCTAGCGCCCCCTAGAGGGGAAATTCCCCAGCGCATCAGCCAGCAAAACCCACTCTGCGGCAAGATCATAGCTGGCGCGTCCTAGAGGGGAAAGATCCTGTGACCCAATCCCCGTTCCCCCCAAGCCAGCCAATCCCCATCCTGGGGCCAGTTCGGAGCTCGCGCACCCTAGCAGGGAGGGGATCTCACCTGTGTCAGGTGGGCTCAGCAGTACAGTATACATCCTGTGGGTGTTGGAGCCAAGGCAGAAGATCTGGGGGCCCCTGTCCCTGCTCCCCGTCCAGCTCAGGGTGCTGACGGCCTCATCCCCCTGGGCCCAGGAGCTGACCTGCAGGGGCCCCCATGAACCGTTCCCAGCCAGCGGCTCGCCCGTCCACCTGCCACTGGAGCAGGGGAGAGGGGTGGGAGCACAGGGAGCAGCTGCAGCTGACTCTGGGCCCCTGGTGCTGGCAGGACGTGTTCAGCCTGTTCCCCAGCCGAGGGCTGTCTGGGGAGACCAGGAGACACAGCGACAAATTAATAGTGAGAGAGAGAAACCCAGTGGCAGGGAGTCCCATAGATTAACCTGCTAATATCCAGTGGCAGGGAGTCCCACGGGTTCCTTTGCCCTGGGGTGTCTCTTCGGCTGGCCCCCAGGCGCTGATCCACCCCCATCCTCAGCCAGCTCCGCTTCACACCAACCCCCCTGCTTCTCTGCCCTCAGCCTGGGCATTCACAGCCCATTTAGGTGGCCCAGACATCTGTTCAAGCCTCAGCTGCCCCCCATGGGGCTGTCCTCGAAGCAGCTAATTAACTATGGCACAGGAGGAGTTTGCACTGTCTCCGTTTACAGGGGCCAGGCACCTGTCACACCGGCTAGTACTCAGTGGCGACGACTCCTACGGATTAAAACTGCTACTCTCCAGTGTCAGCGTCCCAGGGGTTAACCCCACTCACACCCTGTAGCAGGGAGTCTCATGGGTAAACTTTGCTAATAAACAGTGGCAGGGAGTCCTGCACGATAACCCCACTCGCGTTGGATGAGCAGCTCGAACTTCCCCTGGGACATCCCCCCATGGACTCCTTGCCCTGCCCCATCAAATGCCCCACTGACCCCCCCGACCTGCCCCCTCCAGCACAGCACCTTCTACTGACCCCCAGCCCACCCCCTGCAGCACAGTGTCCCCTACTGACCACCTGCCCCCTGCAGCCCAATACCCTCCACTAAGGCCCCTCTGTGTGGCACAGCGCCCCCTAGTG